TAGAGACTAAGGTTGGAGAGAATCCAATGTTCTGTATTCTCATTATTAAAGTCTATATATATAGACAAATATACAAGGTTGACCTAATCCTATAAAGAGAAGGTAAAGGACAAATTAATATTAATACAAGAATATAAAATATACTAAAATATACTCTAACTGTTGGTATGTTTGTAAGCCAGGATTTGGTTCAATTGCCTTATTGAGATTACATTAGTTTGCTGGAAAGAGACATAAGAGGTTTCCTGAGAGAAGAGAGTGGCCTTAAGAGGGAGACCTTGACCAACCTTAGTGTGCCGTTACTTCACATTTTTATTCCCTGTTTTTAATTTTCTTCCTAGTGTCTCTCGAGTCTAAAATACACTCTAAAATACTCTATTACCTCCATACAAACCACTCGAAGATCCTTTCTGTAACCCTTTCAATTTACCATTTTTCATGTTTCAATTATTCCGATGAAATAGACGTTTTTTCCTATTTTTAAATAAGAAAATATATATATATAAAAACTTAAAAGGTTAAGCATAAGTTTATAAATTATACCTGCACGCAGCCAGAATGAAGAGCACCACCACCAATATACTCATTAGCAAAATCAACTTCAAGAGCTCCAAATGTTTGATCTTCTATGAGGCCGGAATCTTTAACCTATATGATTAGGAAAGGACCAACTCGATTACCTACTGAAGATTAAAGCAGTTGAGCATGATACACAGTAATTAAACTATCATATAAATCAAAGTTAATTATTACCTTAAATTGGCAGAGAGGAATGGTGGAGTTGATCCAAAAATTGACCTTAGGATAACAAAAAAGTTCTGAGCAATTGTTCAAAGGAAGCACTTTCCTTTCAAATGAGACAAAACCCCTAGGAATATTCGAACATATCCTCCTGAAATAATGTATAATGCATCGTATCTTATTCTCCTGCATTTTACTATGTCTATGGTACAGAATCCTGCAAGTACAAAAAACTTCAATGATTCTCCCTAAGCTTATTGTAATCTACTAAATGACTAATAATTACTAGCTTAGTACTAAATTACAGAATTTAGCTCTATTCTTGAAGAAAACTTGTCGCAACTTCTAGGTAACCAAGAAAATTCACTTGGGTCAAGTATTATTCACTTTTTTTCTCTATTTTATAATAAAGAACTTGCATAAAACCTCAAAATAGAAGAACAGCCTAAGGGCGGAGGGTGGAGATCAGCCTCCCCACAAACTAGACCAAAGTATTATTCACTCAATTAGTGACATTAGATATTATATAGAAATGTTCAGATCAGATGGTAGATTAATCACACATGCACACATGCATCAGAGACAATTTTCAACTCAATCTGATAGGGGCCAATCTTCTTCTCATTAGTACATTATATATGAGACAAAGGTTTCTTGATAATCTATTCCATCGGATTGAGTGAACCCTTCTGCATTGCAACCAACCTACCCCGAACAAGAAACAACTTTTCATTGATATATGAAAAGGAAAAATGTTTAAGATACAAACCCCAAAGGGGTGAAAAAGAAGAGAGAGAAGAAGAGAAAAATAACGAAGAATTCAATACAAGCTCGAAAAAGATAAAAAAAACATTCTGAACTTGAACTCCGAAAAAACTGCTAGCTATGGAACTTTGAAAACCAAACAAATTCCGGAGCCAACAACCGCATGAGGGAAAAGCCTTCCTTAGCACCAAGAGCGGAAACCAAACTCCAAAAAGAACCAAGTAGAAGCTAGGGACACAAGAACTAAACCGCAACCAAAATTCTAATAAGGAGTAAACACCAAATACTAAGCTTTAGTGTTGTCTTCAAAAAACCTCCAAATATAAATCACCATAAGCCAATCCGTATGCTGAAAAAAGATCTTTGAAAACCTCACCACCCAACCAACCAACCAACCAAACTAATGCAAAGCTTTGAAAATTGCAAAAGGTGTAAGAGAGAATATTCCAACTTTTCGAACAACTTAAAACTCAGAGGGCGGACTCAAAAGGGACAAGAGTAATCCCCATTTCTTCAAAAAAGGAAGGAATGGTTGTTTGTTGTGGAAGATCTAACTTGTCATCTTCTTTTTACTCATTAAATAAAATCTGAAAATCTTCCACAAAGAATGCTCAGAAAGATCCTCAGTAGGAACGTCTGACTTTGGAGAAGAGTCCAAACTACTAACACTGATTGCTCCATTGTCATCTTCAAAATCATTATGTGAGAATTCTAGGAAGGATGATCAATGAGACAAACCCTCATTTGTGGAGTGAATAGAGCCAATGAAAAGATCATTTAACTTATCCGTACTAGCCCCCTTTTTAACAAGAAACAAAACATTTCATTGATGTAATGAAAAGAAACAAAAGTACAAAGATAAAACCTCGTTTTAAAACTGTTAAATTATATTTGTTACCTTTTTAATTTCCTATTGTAGTTAGGTTTTAATAAATTAGGGTTCCTTGTTCTAATGGGTAATTATTTCTTTATCCTAATAGGCAAAGTTTAGTTTTCTTTTTCTTATTTGTAACTACTATTTATACCCTTGTATCAACTCTGGAAAGAAAGAAAGAAAAGAAATATTTTTTCTTTATCAATTAACAAAAACGGTCAATAGTACCATCAACTTTGTACTTGACATTGAGATCCATTTACACCTATCATTTTCTTCCCTTCAGGGGGAATAGTGATATCCCACATTTCATTCTTCTCAAGGGCATGAATTTTATCCATAACAGCTTGTTTCTATTGGGTATTTGAAAACCTCATGAATGTTATTGGGAATCTTAGTTTTCAGTGAGAGAGATTGTGAATGCCTTAAATTTTCTCGATTGGTTAGCCACAGAAGAGTAAATATGGATAGGTTGTTAAGGGCATTAATGAACTCTTTTCCTTGTGGCAATAGGAAGATTAAGATCAATGTTAACAATGAAATTTCTATGAGGAAGTTGGTCGAGAGTCAAAAAGAGTAGGAATATTGTCTTTGCTGGTTGCTTCTTGGTTTTTACGTCCCGTGTAAACAATTACATCTTTTTTATTATCCGAGGTTTGGCTAAGGAAGGATTGAAGGATAAATGGTAAGGGATATGTAGTCAAAGTTTCAAGAATACGACCAAGAAAAGCAACTATTGATCAATGGTTCTTGAGCTTTATTATGGGTACTTTAGACTAGAAAAGGATCTTCAAAGATGAAATCAGAAGTTTGTGCTGCATTTGGAATGTTATTTTGGTCTTGGTGAGTTAAACCTAACTCTTTGGTAATTACTCGTTAACTATTGTCTTATCCTGCTCATTTGTAAATTCCATACAATCAACTAGTACAAGCTTGAAAAATAGTTGACTAGTCATTTTAGCTACAGTGCATTTTTTTTCTGGCAATTCAGATTCTATTTCTAGTGGATAATATTATAAGTGGCTTGTCGTTGTTTTCAGTTCTCACTATCAGTAAGACCATTAGTGCCCTTGCTTTATACCATGAAGAGAATTCTCATTATCATATATATTTTGCTCCGTTTTTCCCTCTTTATTAATATAAAATATAAAATGTTAGCATTCACAAGTGCACCTTCAATTAGCTAACAATCTTCTAGCAAAATTTAACAAATAAATATAAATTGAGGTAAGTTTAAGGTTTTAATTGACTCAACCTATAAAGTTCAGGGTTTTAATTGAATAAATGATTAGTTTGGAGTTTTAATTGACTCAACCTGCTAAATTCAAGGGTATAAATTGATTTTTTCCCAAATTTATTATGTAGTTACAAAATATATATTAACATCAAGTGTGACATTTTATGTATAACTTATCTTTCATGATACTAGCAACTGAGATAAAGATCTAAAGCTCACATACGCAAATAAATAGTCAAAGTTAATTGTTGGAAGATTTTGGCTGCCTCTATCAATGACCGGAAACAAACAGAAGAAAGCACAAGCAAGAAGCGCACCAGTCAACTCCTGAAAATCAAAATGGAAAATGATCAACAGAGATTAACAAAACTGATGCATAAGAAGCAAGGGAGATTTTGCTAGTTCAAAGAACATGCAAGCAAGATCCGACATTCATCCATTTTATTCATTAAGGTAATAACACATCTTTCTCTCCAAAAAAAGATAAAAAGGCCCTTGTTTGAAGAAGTTGTTACCATGTGGGAGTAAACAGGATACACTAAAGAAATTTGTATTCTTCCTTCAACGTTTTTATCCCTTTTTGGATCGCTGAAATTCTTGTAGACTTTTTAGCTTATTTTTCCTTTTCTTTCTGCCATCAACTCTCTTTCATGTGGTTGCTGTTCTGTCCTCTTAGTGTCGCAGCAGGACTTCTACATCTCTATTATTCCATGGTGCAGTTTTCTCAAATGAGTGTAGAGGCTAAGGTTGGAGAGAATCCAATGTGATGTATTCTCATTATAAAAGTCTATATATATATAGACAAGATATCTATTGAGATCAGGACAATAACATCGATACCCTTTTTGAACACGAGAATAACCAAGGAAAATGCATTTCAAGGACTTGGGGTCCAATTTGGTGAGCTGAGGTTGAACCTTATGAACAAAACAGGTGCAACCAAATATTTTAGGTTTAATAGGAAATAAAGGTGCATAGGACATAGACTACGATAAGGTATCTCACCCTTAAGAACTGATGAAGGCATGCGATTAATCAGGAAGCAAGCCGTTGAAATAGCATCGGCCCAAAAGCATTTTGGAACATACATTTGAAACATTAAGGCCCTTGCTGTTTCGAGAAGATGTCTATTTTTCCTTTCTGCAACTCCATTTTGAGACGGAGTATCGACACAAGAATATTGGTGAAGAATACCATATTCACTCAAATAAGAGCCAAGAGCTCCAGAAAAATATTCTTTAGCATTAGAACTTTAAGAGAGCCACCAAATTGAGTTCGAATTTCAGTATGAAAGTTACGAAAATGAGAAAGTAACTCAGAACGATGTTTCATTAAATATAACCAAGTTACACGGGAAAAATCATCGACAAAAGTAACAAAGTACCGAAACCCACTTTTGGACTCAATAGGACAAGGATCCCAAACATCAGAATGAACTAATTCAAAAAAGGTAGTAGCTCGTTTATTGACTCTAGGGTACAAACTAAGACGATGAAACTTAGCAAATTGACATGACTCACAATCTAAATAATGCAAACTATGAAATTGAGGACGAAGACTCTTTAACACGGAGAGAGATGGATGACCCAAACGACAATGTTCTTCGAAAGGAGAGGGTACTCGAGTGCAAATGGTAGCTGTAGGTATTTGTGTATCAAACGTGTAGAGGCCATTGGATTCACGCCCTTTACCAATAGTCTTCTTCGTCGTAAGATCCTGAAATAGGCAATAACCAGGGAAGAATAAGACACAACAATTGAGATCACGAGTTAGTTTACTAACAGAGATCAAATTAAAAGAAAATTGTGGTAAATTTAAGACAGATGTTAGTGAAAGGGATGTGGAAAGATGAACGGTGTCAGAGCCAAGAACAGGAGAAGTGGTGCCATTTACTATGGTAACATCAGGCAAAGATGCAGATGGGGAGAAATTAGCAAATAAGTTATGGTTACCTGACATATGATTTGTCGCACCAGAGTCAATGACTCATTTTGATGCGGAGGAAATAAGACATTTTCTAGTGTTACCTGACTCAGCGATGGCGGTAATCGGATTAGAGGACGATGCTGTCCATGACTCTTGATACTGTTGGAACTTAGCAAATTCTTTCGCAGGAATTGTAACTAACTTGCCAGCATTATCAGGAGTAGATGCAACATGGGCAGACTGTGTTTTCTGACCTTTATTCAATAGCTTTCTACATTCTCGTTTTGTATGACTGGACTTATGGCAATAATTGCAAAAAATAATATCTCTTAAATTTGATTTTGGAGCACTAGAATTCCAACGTTGAGAGTTCGAAGTCGTGGAATTCCCTTGGTAGGTACTACCTCTGTTTGCATTTGTACTGCGTCCAACCAAAGCACTATTAGATTGAGATGACAAAACGGATTGTGATTTCTCAACTCGAAGTACTCGAGTGTATGCCTCCTCTAAAGCTGGAATTTCCGAACCAGAGAGTAATTGGTCTTTGGCCACATCAAATCTAGGTGGAAGACCAAGAAGAAAACTAATAACTGCTAGTTGTTCGCGTTGGGCAAGCCGAACTTTTGCATCATTACTATCTGGGAGTAATGCATTAAACTCTACAAAAATTCGTTTGTGTTCCATAAAGTAATTTGTAAGAGATTGGTCACCAAACTCAGGTTGGTAGAAGCGCTTGCAGATTTCAAATATTCGACTAACATTTCCTTTTCCAGAATAAAGGAATTCTAAATATTTAACAACTCTTTAACATACTCACATTCACTGACCAAGCCAATAATGTCACCCTCGATCGAATTCTTGATCTGTAGAACCAGTCGAGCATCATCCCGCAACCAAGCTTTCTTACTCTCATCCTTAGGCGGATCCTCAGTTATGTGATCGTCCATATCAATACTTCGCAAAAAAAGACGAACATTGATTTTCCATGAAGAATAGTTTGATCCATTCAACTTGTGTTATGTGATTTTTGATATCATTGGGATCACCTCAGAAGTTACGATTGATTTCTTCTCAGCCATAACAAAAAAACGAACTTATTTGAACAAAACGACAGAACTAGACCAAACCACCCGAACCAAACAAAACAGATGAATCAAACTGCTGGAACCAAACCGGATCAGGTGTTTTCTGAAACCAGAAACCCTAAGTGCTACCCCACGACAACCAGAGGGGCGAAGGCGACGGGTGGCGACTGGCGGTGACGAAAACACAAGGCGACGGCGACGGCGATTGGCGGCGAGACGAAACCCACGAACAGCAATCAGAAAACAGCAAGCTGGCGAATTAGCAAACAGCGGCGGCGGTCGGCGGTGGTGGTCGGCGACGGCGGTGGTCGACGGTGGTGGTCGGCGGCGGCGCGACGGTAGTAGTGAGTTGAGTTGGATAGCAATAGACAAAACCCTAATTCTCATGATTAAAGTCTATAGATATAGACAAATATACAAGGTTGGCCTAATCCTATAAGGAGAAGGTAAAAGACAAATTAATATTAATACAAGAATATAAAATATACTAATATCTATACTCTAACAATGAGAAACTCATTTCTCACGAAAAAACTGCTTTGAAGGAAAGGTGTGTGATAGGATTGGTCCGTAGGGTAATAAAGGGATATTATTAGGGTATTGAGGGTACCTTAGTAATTAGATAGGAAAGTAGTTAGGGATAGTGTTATATATAGAGTGTTGGTGTAAGGATGAAGGTATCCAATTAGTGAGTATGATTTTGGCTTGAGTGATAATACTCAAGAGAGGGGAGGATCCAAGTACCTCGAATACTTGTAGTTCGTTTATCTTTTATCTTTCAATATATTTTGGGTTCTAACAGTGTGTTTTAAAATGTAGGGTAAAAATGAAGCCCGTCAACCGACCACCGCCCCCCACTAACCTTCTCCACCCCACCCTCCGGCCACCGTCATGACCCCCTGGAACTACCAACCCCGTAAAGTTGTTATTGAAAGGAAAGCCTTCACCATCAAAGTTGATGAGCACTTCAGAGGGAGTCGTGCTAGGATCACCGAATCTGGAAGAGATACATCATACTCATTATCTCTCACATGAGCATCTGTCTCATGGGTCTTTTCCCTTTCCTTGCTCCTTGACACCCCACTCACTCACAAGTTCTTTCGTGAGCACAGGAGCGATGACTACACTTTCTGGCTAGAGAAACTCAACAACAAAAAAAGCTTTTGGGTGGAACTCAATAAGCTCGACAACAATAGAGGGAAGAACAGGATTATGCTACCCTCCGGTTTGGATAAAGGAGGTTGGAAAACTTTTCACAACCTTCTTCAGGGCTACCCGACTTCTTTGTCGTCTTTGAGAAAGCCCCTACCATCACCACTCTGGCCCGAGACTCTACACTATCACCACTAATAAGGATGCTAGAATCATTGATCTTTGGTCTAAGACTTCCTCTTCTTGGGATTACAGCTTCCGCAAATCACTAAAAGATGATGAAATCGATGATTGGTTGATACTATCACAGATCCTTGAAGCTTTTTCCCCTTCTCCACCAGAAGATTTGTGGACTTGGACAATGGAACCGAGCAAGTCATTCACCACCAGCTCTGTTTTCAAGCACCTGACCACTTGCAAAGGCACGCCCGCCCTTTACCCATCCCTTTGGCAAGGTAATTGCCCCAAGAAGGTGAAGTTCTTCGGCTGGGAACTAAGCCATAGGACTTTGAATACATTCGATCGGATTCAAAAAAGGATGCCTCACATCATGCTCTCCCCGAACTGTTGTCACTGTTACAAGGCATCAGAATCTCCAGAACACCTTTTTATCAGCGGCAGTTTTGCTACAAATTTCTAGGAGATCCTTCTATCTACTTTTGGATGGGAGACAGAACTCGACAACAAGCCATCCATCTTCCTAGATTGTCTTTTGGTGGGTCACCCTTCCACTGAGCACCGCTCAACTCTTTGGACACTCTTCATCAGAGCCTTCCTTTGGAGTTCATGGTTAGAGAGGAACAACCAAGTCTTTAACGACAAATCTCTTCCTTTTCATTCTTTTTTTGATAGATTTACTGTTTTAGCTCTTGGTTGGTGTAAGAGCTTCCACTCCCCCTTTAATTGTTACACTCTAAACGACCTTATCTTAAATTGGAAGGCGTTTTTGTAATTGCCCTTGTGGCCTTTTGTAAATTTCATACCATCAATGAAATACTTGTTTCATATCAAAAAAAAAAAATGTAGTGTGAGGAATATTATGAGGATAGGGATATTATTAGTTATTAGCCAAAGGATTGGTGTGCGAAGTAGTTATAAATACAATAAGTTGGGGGTTTGAAGGCGAGCAGTTTTAGAAATAGTTTTTGGGAGAGTCCAGACATCTTGAAGTGCTTGGAAAACTTATAATTTTCCTTCGTAATATGAAGACAAGTTTCTATTAATTTCTATTTCAAATTCCAATTTATGGTGGTAAATTAATTTTCTATTAATGTCTATTTCAATTTCCAATTTCTTGTGGTAAAATTTCCAATTTCTGGTTCCTACCACCGTGGCACCAAACTAATAGTAGCTATTTATTGTTAGTGCAAGAAGATAAGTGGAAACCGAGGGACAAAGAGAGAATAAGAGAACAAGAAAGCAGAGCAGACATGACTAGTTTTCACGCGTTATTGCATCAAAATTACTGAACACAAACCTGAAAGACATCAAAAAGCTTAATAAATGTCCACCATATGACAGGACTGTTTCCAGAAACAAGATTCCACGAATTTAATACATGAAGAAAAATTATTTTCGTCCAACTAGTCAAAATAAAGGTGGCATTATTTTCTCCTTAGCATGTCATTAAAATCATTGGTAGATGTTAGAGTATATATTAGTATATTTTACATTCTTTTAAATAATATGTATTCATTTGTCCTTTACCTTTCCCTTCTAAGATTAGGTCAACCTTGTATATTTGTCTACATATATAGACTTCAATAATGAGAATAAGAGACATCGGGTTCTCTCAAACCTTAGTTTCTACATGGTATCAGAGCTCTAGGTTTCTTGCCTATTAAGGTTATGTGCTCATTAGGGTTTTGATGCCCATAGGATTTTGTGCTCATTAGGGTTTTGTTCATTGCTATCCAACTCAACTCACTACTACCGCCACTGCCGCCCATGCCAACGCCACCGCCGCCCACTGCCGACGCTGACCACCGCCACCACCAATCGCCGTCCGCCAACCTCTGCCGCCGCCCACCGCCGCCATCTGTTGATTCACCAACGCTGCTGTTTTTCCATTACTGTTCATGGGTTTCGTCTCGCCTTCCTTCGCACCTCCGTCCCCGCCAGTCGTCGTGCACTCCCGTCACCGCTAGTCACCGTGCGCTTCCGCCACCGCCAGTCGCCTTCGCCCCTCTGGTTGTCATGGGGTAGCACTTAGGGTTTCTGGTTTCAGAAAACACCTGATCCGGTTCAAGCAGTCCGGTTCTAGCGGTCCAATTCAACCGGTTTGGTTTCAAGTGGTTTGGTTCATCCGATTTAGATTCGGTTTGGTCTTATTTATACCGGTTCTGGTTCGGTTCGTTTGTTTCGGTGCAATTGGTTTGGTTCACTTGGCTCTGTTCAATTGTTTTGGTTCGATTCCCTTTCCTCCTTCAGATTTGGTTTTGGCTCAGCAAGGATTGGTGGCTACAGAGTATGTGAAGACTAGAGAGCAGCTAGGAGATATCTTTACTAAAACATTGAATGGAGCACAAATTGATTATTTGTCTAACAAATTGGGCATGATTAACATATATGCACCAACTTAAGGGGGAGTGTTAGAGTATATATTAGTATATTTTACATTCTTTTAAATAATATGTATTCATTTGTCCTTTACCTTTCCCTTCTAGGATTAGGTCAACCTTGTATATTTGTCTCTATATATATAGACTTCAGTAATGAGAATAAGAGACATCGGGTTCTCTCAAACCTTAGTTTCTACAATAGATAATGACCCTAAAAATCAAATTTTAAATTAACATCACAACAATGCCTAAATCATTAAGTTATAAAACCATTCAAAAATTTCACTCCTGAATCAACAACTTCAGGTTCCACATAATTAATGATAAAGATTCTTTTATCACTGCCACCAGGCACCAACCAACATGAAAACTACCGAGGAAACTAAAGTCCTGTGGAAAGTGACCAAAATTGTTATAAAATAAAAAATAAATTGGCACACCTGGCTGAGGTACACAGTGCCTGCAACTTGAGAAGCCAACAAACGGAGACCAGTTTGGAAATTCCCGCTTCCTTTATTATCAAGCTGGTCAGCAATTTGATAATGATTTTCCAGCAAAGAAGGTAATCGTAGAAGCAGATTTCCCAATGCTGGAATAACCTCACCAAACCATTGCATAGATTCTGTTTCGGGCATAAGCTGTTCATAACAACTTGATTTAGTCTCAGTTCAGATTGCAATGTCATATATATGCCAGCAGCAACTACTGCACCTTGCATTCAAGCATGCCAAAAATATCTTCCAGTGCCGCCATTCCACAACCAAAAGGCTAATGGTGTCAACTAAATAAACATAAAGCAATGCAAGTCCATCCTAGCCAGGACTGGTCTTTTCCTCATGCGTTTGAAAATTAAAAAAAAAAAAAGAAAAAAAACCTCTTGTTTTACTTGGAGATGGCTGAAATATTTTTACCTGATAATTTGATGTTGAACCAAGACTAATATACCTTGAGTAGGCTAAAACCACATTAAGATTTGCATTAGTAACCGTGAATATTTTTTTGAGACTAACCATAAATTTTACAATTACTTTTAATTCTACCTCAGGTATAGACCCTGGAGCATGAAAACACGCTCATTCCAAGATCTGGAAATATTTTTTCCACAACTAAATCCAAAAAGAATACATCATTTAATTCATTGCTAAGCTTGCCAACTATTAAAAAGAAAAAATTAGAAATAACTACAACTGAAATAATAGTTGAGGCCAATGACAAATTTTCAGGCCATGATAGTAAAAGTTAAATACCAATGTTCATGTAAATACCAAGATAAAATAATCAAGTAAAAGTTAAAATCGGGAAACAAGATAAATTATCATGGTCTCAACTAAATACCAATGTTAAATACAATTATCACTAGAAAATGTAAATAAGAAAGGCCAATCTAATTCTTCTTTGGTTCCTCTTTCTTTCTCTCTTCCTCTTTCTCACTCTCTTTACCATTTCTTGCGGGACAGATTTCCTAAGGAAGGAGTTCTGCCTTGAAGAGGAATGTATCCCTCAGGCTCCACCAATGAATGCATCCCTCCTAGAATAGAAGACAAAAAGGCTCTCTCCCCACACTGACGAGGGAAATTAAAGATAAGTAAAATCTAAATTTTGCTATTAAGTGACCAACTGACCATGGAACATAAGATTTAAGAAAGGCTCTTATTTCTAGAAGACTATGGAAATCTCGGGAAAAAAAAAACAGGATCTTTATGATGTAAACCATGTCCATCATGTATTTGAGAGTTGTGTAGGCAGGTTCGCAAATTTTTTCCTCCCACAGTTACTCCGGAAGCCCATAGTACCATATTGCTAAATGTAGTAGTGTTTCTTAGATTGACGTGTTCTTATGGAAGGGGTGGTAAAAGAGTGTAAGCTTGGGAAGATCAGTGGCTTACTGGCAGTGCCTTGCACTCTAATTTTCCTAGGCTCTATAGAACTGCTATTTTAACCATTATAGAAGGATTCATTAGGTCTGGAACCGTGAGAGAAATCAACAGAGCCTCAATTTCTAGAGGGTTTATGATTAGGACATAGTAGAATAGGTTTCCCTCCTCGTTAAGCTTGAAAAATAGATTCAGACCTCAATCATGAAATTAGAGTTTTATAAAGAATGGAAATTCTGGACAGTTTTCTTGTAAGTTATGAGACCGTTCCATTATAGCATTTACCACATGGAATCTATTCTAAAATTAGTTGCTACAAAATCGGGAAATCTTGAAATTCCAGAGAAAAAGTATGTTCTTCATGTGGTCCATATCTCGCGCCATGATCACTAATCGACACTTTCAACATAATTCACAAGAAAAGTCCAACATCTCACATTTTCCTGACAGGTATGCGCTGTGCAACAGAACTGACGAAGATCAAAACTATATTTACTTCAAGTAAAACTATGGTAGGAAAATTTTGTGGACCATTTTCAGGCTATTCTCATTGCAACGGTGCCCATCAACCGATATCATAGTCCTAGTGTTTGAAATACCTTGTCGAAGAAAAGGGAGTAGCCATGGTGGGCAGAGGAAGCGAGGGGTTGATTGGTGAGAGAGAGAGAGTTCCTGATAGCAGAGATGGAGTGGAAGAGGGCGTCGCCAGTAGTAAGACCACTCTGATCAGGCCCTGCCGCCATAGAATTGAGAGTTTCCACCACTTGGGAAGGCCAGAATAAATTCGACGACCGCAGCACCAGCGGCAGAAAGGGTAATATGGAATTCAAATCTTCCCTGCTCTCCATCTCCTCCCAAATTTCTGCAAGTCTTTGCCTGCACCAGCAATAAACTGGTTTCCGTTTACCTTCGGCGACTTCTTCTTCTTTTTTGTCCTTTCTTTGTCAGCACAGCTTCAGCGACATCCTTTGATTTGGGAAATTATCATTTTTTGACTCAAAAATTTTTTGTTAAAGAAGTTGGGTTGTTTTCTAAAAGATATAGTTATGAAATTACTTTTTTCTCTCTCTCTCTTTTCTTTTTTCCTGTTAACCTCTCTTAACAAAAACTTTTTTTAGAACAAAAATTTCAACTAAAGGTGTTTTCCATCACTCCCCACTTACCTCGAGTTGCATTGTTTTCCTATCTCTCTTGTAAAATTACACACCTACCCATAGGTGATTTCTGTTCAACACCACTCGCGTCAAGGATTTTTTTTTAATAATGTAATTTCAAAAATAAAAAATAAAAGCAGGGTAGTTTTCAAACTAATTTCAAAGGTGTGTAGTTAAATCGTGTACATCATACACAATTTAGAAAACGCACGTCCAATTGACGCGAATTTGATAAATTTGTATGCAATGCACACGAGTCGTGTCTAATGTGGCTTCAACGACGCACAGTTGGAACCACATGTGTTGTAGAAATCGTGTACGATTTCACCAAACTCGTGTACAATGCACATGAGTTCCGTCTCCACCCCACCCCACCTCCACCTCTCATTTTTAAACCAAAAACCCTAATCTTCTCTCTCTCTTCCTCGTCTCTCTCAACTCAGTCGACGTCGGACTGTCACCTGTTGCCCCTGCTGCCTCCACCAGCCGTCGTTGAAGGTGGTCTTACTTCTCCCTTTTTTTAGTTAGATTTTATTATAACATACTTCTTTGTAGTTCATTCAATCATCGCATCAAGTTCAATTCATCCACCGAATTCATTACCACAACTATCACCTATTGAGGTAACACAACAAGATATGGATGACATAATTCATCATCCATTATCACATATTGCTACGCCTCAACCTCGTCGTGGAGCTCACCTGAGAAGACGGATATCATGTGGTACATAAGTTTTTATCTATAGTTTGTAATATTTTAGTTTATTTACGTTTAAATCGACTTGTGTACTAAACTTTTATTAATCAATTTGTGGTACATGAATTGAATTTAGTTCACAATTCAGCCAGTGGCAAAAGACTAATAAAAAATTTCAAAATTTTTGCACAAAAAATGAAAAAAAAAATCAAGACAAATCGCACTTGTATTTAATTTAGAAGGAAAAAAACGTGTACAGAAGAAACTCATTTACAATGTACACGATTTATTAGTCCAACTGACCCTCCTTCGACCACATGAGACTTAAGCGGACACGTGTAACTTTGCTCACGAGTTGTGACTTTGACAAAAACCACCCTAATTTTGTCAATAACTTTGGAATGTACCATATTTCAGATTTATATTATTTTATTTACATTTTTAATTTTAGTGTGCTTAAATTGCAATTTATTTTTTAAATTATATCATTTATGAAATTAGCCCTCACTTCAAACATAAATTTATGAACAAATTTATTAAATCCTTGTAAATTTCTAAATCTTTCAAACCTCTATGCTCTCATTTTTTTTATTTATTAAGCTTTGGAATTTATGAACTTTTCAGGGATCGGAATTTAGGGCGTGATTCTTGTTAATTTCTAGTCGCCCTAGATAAAATCAAGATTGATAAATCCTGACTTGTAATTATCATCGAAAATTTTGGATTTCATTTATCATTTTATAAATTACAATAAAATCAAACTTATTCTCTTTTATTTTATTTATATTTTTTAACGTGAAATTTAGTACTAAGAAACTAAAAAAAATTGAGGTTGTAAGTCTTTTGTTCTAAGAAAAAATGTTTTCTTTTTTGTTAGTAGAGAAGTTAAAAGAAACAAAAAAATATATATATATTTGTGTGAGAAGTTAAATATTTTATTTTAGAGAGATTTTTTTTTAATCATGCGGGGTTCAAACTTCAAGGGAAATGTACTAGGCTATGCTTATATATTAAAGAAAGAAATATAAGGGGGAGAAAGTAACTTGGGAAATTTTCTAACCCCATTTTATAATCGATTGGATTTTTGACCCCTCTCTAAAACAACTCTTATTTGTAATTTTGACTTCCACATCTTTCTCGTGTCAAACCTCATAAATTTTTTTAATTTGAATCTAACATGGACAAATTGTGAACCAACAACAAAATCCACCAAAAATGTAAACAGAATCCACAAAAATCCTCCCATAACTAAACCAAAGCCACCATAACCACCAAAAATTCTCAATAACTAAATCAGAATCACAACAGAATCCACCAAAAATCTCCAATAACTAAATGAAAAGCAGAAGGCAGATTGATTGATGAATAAATCCAGTGGACAGAATAAATGACAACCCAAGTAAGAAGAAGTTGGTCAGCAAGATTGCATCGTTCCAAGAATTTATACCGCATGATTTTGATGCTAATGATCATAGGACTTCTAGCTTCCCAGTAGTGGCTGTGCATTGCATAGGAATTCTAGACATTAGAGTTTTTAACATAGTTAGGCATGTTAGAGAGGTATGAGCAATTTCTTTTTTCTTGGCAGATGAATTTAAGCCTTTATCCATAAAATGGCTGATCAGAGACACTTCTAAAACCTTCTTCAGACGAATTACAATCGAAAACTCATAGCAGAAATCAGCGATGAAGAAATGACGGAAAAAAAGAGATTTCTCATTAGTGTTTCAAAAAAATAAGAATTGCATAAATTTCGGATCGGGATAGCACTTCCCGGATCAAGATAGTATAAAATGCTAGTCCAGGATTATGTAATCCCGGTTCTGGATGGTGCTATCCAAAGCTAGGATTGTGCTATCCCAGGCTGGAATTCATACAATTTCAGTTTTTTTTTTTTTTTAATATTGGGCATCTGTGCCTTCTTGGCCCTTTTATAAATTAAATCCTGGAATTTATGTAATTTTAGTAGATTTTCCCATCTTCAAGTTAAAAATGTGAGATTTTTCACAATTCACAGTAACCTTCAAATTAAATCTCGGGATTAATGTAATTTCAGTTTTTTTTATTTTAATTTTTATAATTATCTTGGCCCCTCTTTGTTAATTAAATCCCAGATATTTATGCAATCTTGGTTTGAAATTTATGGAATCTTATTTTTTTTATTAAATTCTAGGCATTTATGCAATCTTGGCCAGATTATGCAAATTCAATTTTCCAATATTCAAACTAAAAAGTTGAGATTTTTTTTTTAGAAATGATTTTTCAAATTTAAAAGTTAGATCTTTTCCGTATTAAATTGGAAATTGAAAACAAAAAAAATTAAGAAGATAGACCATTAATTATCTTAAAATTTCCTTTTTATGAGTTTAAAAATTTTTGGCAGATTTTGTAAAAATAGAAAAAGAAAATTGAACACAAAAAGAGAAACAAAGACAAAGAAATTAGAAAAAAAAAAAAGTGGATGTGAGGGTATTTTAGTCCTTACACAAGTGCAAAATGTAAAAAGAGGTCACGATAAGAGTTTTTAAAAAATGAGTCAAAAATTCAACATAATTATTGGGTGGGGTCAAAAATTCCAATTACCCAGATAACTTCAGGTGCAAGGTTTGATTGAAAAAGGTTAGAATAACTATTTTTTAGAAAACGACCAGACTTCTAAAACGAAAAACTTTGGGGTCTAAAAATGACAATTTCTCCTTTAATTTGTGCGTAAATTTCTAAGATAAAATAAAGTTTTGCACAAAAGTATATAATTTTCTTTTGTTCAGTAGTTGCTCTAAAATCTATGGTGTTAGCTTGATTTTGGCACTGCGGAACAAAAAGTAATGTTAAATAGTAATTTGTATAGCATATTTTTTTTATTTGACTCTTTTTATTATTAAATATGGTGCAAAAAAATTTTTATCGTCGAGAGTATTCTATACCAGTCATCACTGAGTTCGCAATGTGAGTCGTCACCAGTTGAGTGGTAAGTCAGAAGAGATGGAACTCGAATTAATGAACTTGTATTTGTACTTATGTATGTAGTGCTACAATCTTTAATGTATAATCCTCTGATGTTTTCTCTCGGATGTAAACTTTAATTCAACTGCCTATTCTTGAATCAATGAGGCTAATGTCTTCAACTTCTTGCTTGTCGAAKGATCTTTGAAGTCTTCGCCTTAGAGTTTGTTGAAGAATCTTTGAAGTCTTCGGCTTTAATTGCGCTTGTTGAAAAATCTTTAAAGTCTTCGGCTTTGAGCTTTTTGAAGTTCTTCGGCTTGTTGATGAAGTTTTTTGACTTGTACCTATTGAAGTTCTTTGGCTTGTTGAAGTTGAGTTATTTGTGCAAGAATTTCATATAAATTAGCTAAGGATAGACTCACTAACACCCAATCTACATTGATTTTGTGCAAATAATGCTTTACATTCATTAACATCTTTACTTTATTAGACAATACTGAGAGTTATGATGAATGATCTAATTTTGAATGTTTTGATGTAGAATTTTTGATGCTGCAGCATCGAAAAAACAGAATTGATAGTGACAGATTTTTACCCGAAAATTTATTGCACTAAAACGCATATTCACCATTAGATTGAGCTGGGCCCCGTTTTATCCATTTTGGTTGCCCTAAAATTGAGGAGAGGTATAAATGCTTTCATTTTAAGGTTGCCTCCATTCATTCTCATTCTTCATCAAACCCTAGAGAAAACAAGACAAGAGAAGAGGGAAAACCCTTGGAGAGGAACTCGAAGAAGACAACAAAGGGAGTGAATGGCTGCTGTTTTTTCCTCCTTTTTTTCTTCTTTTGTACTCCTTAGTGCACGAGTTTTGTACTTTCTTCTTCTCTTTTCTTGTATGACATTGGTAGCTAAGTTTATTGTAAGAAGGAGGATGTTGTGAACTTATTCTTGGGTTGTAAACTTTGCTTTGGCTTTAATGATGATATATATACTGAGTTGAAGTTGTTTTTAACGTTTTTTTTCAACGTGCTTGGCCAACATATTGCAATACCTCTTTATTAGCTTTTGGAAAATTGTAACAAGGAGTGTTTGGCTTCAAATCATGCTAGATCTACTTGAGTTTAGAGCGTGGGTACTTAGGAATAAGGCTCACCTAGTAAGGTTATAAACTATGCTGATATGCTGTCATGTTTGCCCTAAAAC